CGTTAGAGGCTAGTTGATGAAGGGAATGTCCTACACCAATATTTAGTATTTTTATAAAAATTAATATGAGTACGTAATATTGACATTTTGGTTTTTTATATTAAAGTAATTTTATGTTCTCCGTCACTGAGATGTTCAGTTATTGGTTAATCCCTTAGAGTTTGCTGATTTGCGTTTTATGGTTATGACGTATTGTATTTGAGGTTTGTAGGGGTGGTCATATAAAAGTCTAGTGAAAATTCAGATAGAAACTCTTATTAAACCTGTTCTGACATACGCGTCAGAGACATGGACTATGATAAACAGCGACGAAGAACTGTTAAGCCGCTTTGAAAGACGAATACTTAGACACATATACGAAGGAGTACAAGAAAGCGGGATATGGCGCAGGCGCTACAATTTTGAGTTGCATCAATGCTATAAAAAATGCAACATCGTCCGGTCTATTAAAATTAATAGACTAAGGTAGCTAGGACACCTTGAAACAATGGACACTGGAGACCCCCAAAGATTCTATCAACAGCCAGTAGGAACCAGATCTAGATTCAAAACTCAAGTCGAAGATGACTTTTCTCGTTTGACGTTTCTCATTCCTCGCGATTTTGTGCTCTTTGTTGCCAATTTTTAGTGATACGCCTGATGTCGTCGGACCAACGTGTAGGTGGTCTTCCTCTACTGCGTTTGTCTGCTCTTGGCCTCCAATTTGTAATTTTGCTCGTCCATCGTGAATCGTGCATTCTCGCTACATGGCCTGCCCAGTTCCATTTTAGTTCCGCTATGCGTTCCACAACATCAGTAATACTCGTCCTTCTTCGCAGATCTTCGTTTCTTATTCGGTCCCTCAACGTCACTCCCAGCATAGACCGTTCCATTCGTCTCTGTGCCACTCTCAGTTTCGAAGCCGTGGTCTTGGTTAAGTCATAGTTTCCGCCCCATAGGTCATGACCGGTAATACGCATTGGTCAAACACTTTTCTTTTGAGGCTGATTGGTATGTTGGCCCTAAGTGTGTCTCGCAGTTTTCCAAAGGCTGCCCATGTTAAAGTAATTCGTCTTTGGATCTCACATGTTTGGTTATCCCTGCTGATTCTTATTTCATGACCCAAATACGTATATTTCTCCACCAGTTCTACCACTTTGTCTTGAATAGTCAAATGGTTATTGGGGACCAAATTTGTCATAAACTTAGTTTTGGTCAAGTTCATTCTCAGGCCCACCTTCGAACATGCAAAATCCAATTCGTTTATCATATCTGTAGCTTCTCCTAAATTATCTGTGATAAGGACAATGTCATCTGCGAAACGGAGATGGTTAAGCTTTTCGCCGTCTATCGTTACTCCTCTGTGGTCCCAATTGATCATCTTAAAGGCATATTCTAATGCCGTTATGAATAATTTCGGCGACAATGTATCTCCTTGCCTTATTCCACGATTTATTTTTATTGGTCGGGTTTTATTGTCTATTTTAACAGTCATAGTGGCATTTTTGTAAATATTATAAATAAGCTCACTATACCTATGGTCAATCCTGCTGTCATTCATTGCTTCTATAAGGCTGTCTAATTCGATCGTGTCGAACGCTTTATGAAAATCTATGAAAGTGAGAACAAGAGGTTTGTTATATTCTATAGATTTTTCAATGAGTGTTTTTACTGTGTGGAGGTGATCATTGGTACCATAATTTGAGCGGAATCCTGCCTGCTCTCTCGGTTGGTAGAAATCTAATTTTTTCTCCAATCTTGATGTCACTACCCTAGTGAAGAGCTTGTATATGTGGTTCAACAGGCTAATAGGTCTATAATTTTCTAGGTCCGTTCTATCTCCTTTTTTATGCAAAAGGATGGTTGTAGCATTGTTCCACTCTTTGGGCACCTCTCTTTGCTGCAAACATAGATTGAATAGTTTCCTTAATTTATTTAATAGCATATCTCCTCCATTTACGATAGCTTCTATTACGATTCCATCCTCTCCTGGGGCTTTGTTATTTTTCATTTTTCTTAATGCTTGTCGAATCTCATCTAGCTTTATCTCTGGCATTAGTTCGGAACCTTGATTCTTGATCTTCTTTGAAATGGCTGTTTGTATTCCTGTTTTATCTTCTCGTCTACTTCTATATAAGTCCTCGTAAAACTCTTCGACGACCTGTATTAACTCGTCTCTACATGATATTATTTCACTTTGCTTGTTTCTTAATTTATGAATTTCGCATTTCCCATTCGTTAGCTTTCTACGTAGAACTTTTAGGCTGTTATTTTCCTCTATAGTGCGTTTAATATAATCGGTATTAAATTTCCTTAAATCTCTCCTAATTGCTTTCGAAACAGTTTTGTTCATTTTTCTTAAAGTGTTGCTATCTACATTCTTATCGCTTCTCATTTGTCTTCTTTGATCCAAGAGCGTTTCAGTATATGGACTTATTTTACTATCTGATTTTCTTTTAGGACAGTGCACTTGGTGACTTTCTTGTAAGGCGTTTATGATGCAGTTATTCAAGTCGTTAATATCGTTAGCGGAGGTTTCCTGCAATAGAAGCTTATTATTGATATGTGTCTGATATTGGTTGATATCTAATGGGGGTGTCCAGATACCATGAAATTTATTTTTAATCATTATATTCCTTTCTCTTTTTATATTGATTTGAACTTTCGCTCGTATCATCCTGTGGTCGCTGTTTGTGGTGAACTTGTTGAGTACTGTTACATCTTTAATTATTTGTTTTTGATCACTTATGATGTAGTCGATTTCGTTCCTTGTTCTACCGTTTGGACTTTCCCAAGTCCATCTTCTGTGCATCTTTTTGCGAAAGAAGCTGTTCATGTTGAGTAAGTTATTCTGGAGTAGGAATCCTAGTAGCTTTTCTCCTCGATCATTTCTTTCTGGGGAACCGAATTGTCCTAAAGATGTTTCTAGATCTGCTTCTTTTACCCCTATTTTTGCGTTGAAATCGCCACATAAAATTGTGAATTGAGTACGAGAATCATCAAGCGAAGTGGATACATCGTCATAAAACATTTCAATTTCTTCGTCTGTATGGTCTGTTGTTGGAGCGTATACTTGGATAATTTTGAGTTGATACCTACTGTTCAGCTTCAGAATAAGATATGCCACTCTAGATGATATACTTTTGATGTTTATTATCTTGTTCGCGTGATTTTTATGGACAAAGAAACCAATGTCTCCAACTGATGTAGTTTCAGGACCAATCTGATAGAATATATGCCCTGATTTGAGTGTTTTCAAAGTTTCACCTCTCATTCTAACTTCGCTAATACCTATGACATCCCATTTTATTTTATTCATTTCAGTTTCCATTTCAGTGAATCTTTTCATCCTACTCACCTGGGGTAGATCTGTATTTGTTTTAAAAACTGACATCGCGTTTTTAAGGGGTATATTGAAATTATCTTGAACAGGTAGGTATCAATTATTACGTATTTTCTGAATTGGCCAACCCTGTATTTAGACTTTTGCTATAAAATTTGTGATCAATCATTTTCAAATGTACTTGTACTTACTGTACTTGCACTTACTTCATAGTGCTATTTTTCTTTTGAGTTGTGGTAATAAACCAATCAAAAATAAGAGTATTGTATCAAAAAGGAGATTATATCATAAAATGCATAAACCAAACCGTTGTGGATGTTTAATTTTATTTTGTATAAATACCACACTCCGTGATTTAAAGCTAAGTATGTAAAAAAACGCTTAGTTTTGTAAATATACATATCGAGTGAACAATTTCTTAGTAACTTTATATCTCAAATAATAGTCCAATAGGAACTTCCCAAGTTTAAGAGTTGGTAGTGCACATATTGCTAAAGCTGCATCTGTCAAATTAGCTGTCATTTATTAAGTATATTTTTTGCCAAATAGCCATGGATGGATATAGAAACAAGCAATACTTGCAAATGATAGATTTGTTTTATCAAAATTTCGTCTTTATTCGGGTACATTCGGTGGATACATTTATATCGATTGGTTTAGTAAACAATCAACCAAAACCCGTACGTTGATAAAATGCAATATCTACCGAAAACATCGCCGCTGTCCGTGAATGTGTGCATCAGAATCCGAGGCAGTCGATTTTACTTTGCATAAGGACCAGAAATTACCGAATTTTACATCGTGACTTGGGCCTGTACCCGTACAAAACTCAACTGTATATTCGCTGAATAGGCTCTGTAGGAGTTGGAAACTGACCCTAATTTTCGGGTCTAATTTGGGTCGATACCAATCCAGATGATATACAAAGAATGCATTCCGAAAAGGTCACTGTTTGATGTGGATTTTGGGTTGGCAATCTCATCGGTCCACATTTCTTTGAGAACCACATTGGCGAGGCCATCATCGTTAACAACAAGCGCATGTCGATTAATGTCAACTTCTTTTGGCCTGAATTGGAGGATATCGACTACATGGCACCGAACCATGCCAAATTGGATATTGTGCGCAAGGGATTTGGAAGCATAGTCATCTCACGTTGATGTGATATGAACTGGCCACTGAGATCGTGCGATTTGACCTCGTTCGACTGTTTCTTGTCTGATTTTCTTAAGTCGCAAATCTATATGAAAGTAATAATAAACAAATAAAAAAATTCGATGATTCTTACACACAATTTACATAAAATTTAAAGATAGAAACCGCTTAATTAAAGAACCTTTCGAGTCAGAATCTGTGGTGAAACGTCGTTTGCTTTTTATTTGGCGTTTGAATTATTGACCAATTGAGTTCAATTTATTTTATTTACAGCTTTGTAACCTTTTTTTAAACAATAAACCTGGAATAAAGCCAAATAAATCATAAAAAGAGTCATATCATTAATAAAAAAACAACGTAGATTTGAGATAAATTATTAGTTGATATTTCATTTTAATTTGTATACAAATTAATCTCTATTCCAATCTATATTTATATTATGTGCCAGTAACCTATACCCTTATCTAGAATCGACCTAAAATTGCCAAATACAAAAAAAATAACCAAAAAACTAAACACTCACTTTCTAAACGTCACATTCGCATCAGAAAACACACCAGTAACCGGCCGTTTCTTTTTCGAATCGACACTAGAAGACGTCACTTTCTGAGCTCCGGCACCGACGTTCAACGACGATGTGGACGATTTTATCTGTAAAGAAACAAGAAAAATATTCTCATTGAATGTATTTAAAACTAATTAAACCTATCGCTGGATTGTTTGTAAATATGGTTATTGATAAATGTACAGTAGTATGTATCAACGATGAGTGACAAGAAAAAAATGAGATATATCTAATAATTATAAGTTGGGGTCAGTGAATAAATTTATATAATAAGCATCAAGAAAAATATATCTCCAATTATTTCTAATACACACTAAGAAAATAATACTTTATAAGTATAACAGATCTGAGTTAAGATATTTATTTAGCATATTTTAGTTTTAAAATTTTTAAGTCAGATTTGCATAAAAAAGTCGAAGAAGTAGCTGGAGTATGACAGAGGTAAATCATTATGTAAGAAAAACATAAATTACGCAGATGGAAGGAATCTTCTCCTCCTCTATCCTTTATCCTTCATAAGGATGTGGCGACTGTATTCTGTATTCGACATATGGTTGGTATGCAATCGTGTTTCCTGTGCGTGGTGTGCTGCCTCACAGAGAGAGGGGGAGAAATAGAGTGGGAAAGAGAGAAGTGGGAGAGGGAGGGAGAGAGAGACAGAAAGAGAGAGATAAAGAGAGAGAGGAAGACAGAGAGAGAGAAAGAGAGAGAGAGAGGGGGGGAGAGATAGAGGGAGAGAGAGACAGAAAGAGAGAGATAAAGAGAGAGAGGAAGACAGAGAGAGAGAAAGAGAGAGAGAGAATGGGAGATAGAGAGAGAGGGAAAGATAGAGTAATCTGTAGAGCTCTGGCTGGTATTTAGTCTGGCCATCGATGTGGCGATCTTCCTCAGTTCTTTCACCATCTTCGCTTCCTTCAACCACCAATCTATTCACATCTTTGGTTTATCTGAGTGACGTGCTGTCCAGTATATGCGCGTCATTTTTGGCCAGTATAAGTTGTGAGTGAGACTTCTTGATGGTCCAAGTTTCTGCAGCGTAGTTAACGACAGGAAAGATCAGCGTTCGTATCAGGTGTAGTTTGTTTAAATGACGGTACTATTGCAGAATTTAGTAAAGCTGAGGAAGAAAGATTGGGACAAAACACCTCATTAAAGATCCAGATTGGATAAGTCATAGTAGAATCAAATAGCTATGCTTGCCGCGAAATTCAATTCCAGATTAAGCTCCTCAATCGGATATCCGGGAGGAGCAGTTACAAGTATAACACAAAGATTAAAATGCAAAAAATACATCAGAATAGGCACATGGAACGTAAAAACTATGACACAGGAAGGTAAAATCCATAATGCAATACAAGTTCAGGATCCGCAAATATCGGGGAACACCGCGTTTACTATTCTGGAACAGATAACGGCAAACATGAATTGGGTGGCGGCATTATATTGACAAAAGAAATAGCAAAATCTGTTGACAACTGTATCCCAATCTCAGCAAGAGTAATGCTCATACAACTAAAAGCAAGACCAATCGACATCAATATAATTCAAGTGTATGCACCTACAACAGAAGAAATAGAACAAAAGATAGAAGAACTATACCATAGCATTAACCAAGTCGTGAAAAGGTAGAAAAAGCAAGACCTAACAATTGTCATGGGTGACTTCAACGCTAAAGTTGGGGCCAGCAAAACATCATCTGCAGTTGGAACATTTGGTCTAGGAAACCGGAACGATCGGGGAGATAAGTTGGAGATTTTTGCGGAAGCAAATCAATTGGTAATAATGAACACCTAGTTTAAGCTACACCCAAGGAAACTGTACACCTGGAAATCTCCACAGGACTCTGTGGAAGGATTGTAAGAAATCAAATTGATTAAATGCTAGTAAATAAGAGGAATAGGAACAGCTGTACATCTGTCAAAACATACCCGGGGGCAGACATAAATTCCGATCATGTACCAGTTGTAGGTAATTTCTAAGTCAGAATAAAGGAGCTTACAAGTAAGTCGATGAAGAAATATGATGTTACAAATCTGAAAAATCACAATTTTCGACTGAAGGTGAGTGAAAACCTCAAGACAAAGGTGCAAAAATGCTGGAACTATAGAGGAAAGTCTGACCATAATACAAAAAACAGTAAAAAAAATTAAAGAACAACACCTGAAGAAAGATATAGAGAAACGGAAATCGTGGATGACCGATGAAATACTTGAACTTATGGATCAGTGAAAAAAAACAAAGAAAATCTCTAATAATGATAAGAGAATACATACCATCATTAGAAGAAAAATAAGAGAAGCCAAAGAAAAACAAAAAACAGAACAATGTCAAGAATAACATCAATGTTCATCGAAAGGTGAAGGAAATAGCTGGAAAGTTACGAAAACGCAACAGCGAAAAAATAACAGATGATAAAGGCAATCTTGCCATAACCAGGAAAGATAAAAAGAAAGTATGGAAAGAACACTTGGAGAAGCTATTCCATGACCTATGACCTTAGAACAATACAAGAGCACACCATTGAAGAAAATTCAGGTCACGAAATCCTACCAGAAGAAATAACGGCAGCCGTCATACAAATGAAGGATGGAAAGGCACCGAGACTCGATGAAATTCCTGTAGAACTGTTGAAGCTATTAGATGAAGAACAAATAAAATACTAACTGAAATATTTAATGTAATATACAAGGCAGGAAAAATACCAGTAGAGTGGCTCAAATAGGAGTTCGTACCATTGCCCAAAAAACCAGGAGCAAAAGTTTGTGAAGATTATAGAACCATAAGCCTAATGAGCCATCTGCTGAAGCTGTTTTTAAAAGTCATCCACAAAAGAATTTATCGGAAATGCGAGGAACAAATTGCGCTTAATCAGTTTGGATTTGTGAACGCTGTTGGTACGAGGGAAGCTTTTTTAGCGTGCAGATAATGTTTCAGAATTGTAGAGGTGTCAGCTGTAATGTTTTTGCATGCCTGATTTACTACAAGAAGGCTTTCATTATAATCAGAAATGATTAAATGATGGAAGTGCTGAAGAGGACAGTTATTGACGGAAAAGACTTAAAAATAATAGCTAACCTGTATTGGAATCAATCAGCGGTACTCCGAATAGATGGAGAATATACAGATCAGGTTAAAATCTTAAGGGGAGTGAGACATAAGTGCATAATTTCACCACTGATACTTAATCAGAACTCGGAGCACATTTTTGAAGAGGCTTTAAAAGATATCGATGAAGGTATCTCAATAAATGAAGTCAAATGATAAAATAATGTTTTCCAATACCATAGAAGGGCTGAAAAACTTAATGAATAAAATAACGCAAACAAGTAAAAAATATGGACTGGATATAAACACCAGCAAAACCAAGCTAATGATCATCAGAAAGGAAAATATAACTGGAGCAAATATGTATGTGAACCAAATGAGAATTGAACGAGTCTCACAATAAAACTATACTCAATGGGAACTATAATCAATGATTCGTGGCACAATACCCAAAAGATTAAATGTCGCATCGGAAAGGCAAAGAGTGCATTCTTAACTATGAGTTCTGTGTTCAAGAGCCATGACCTCACCCTAGAAACAAAAATAAGGCTCCTTAAATGTTATGTGTACTCAGTGCTTCTGTACGGAGTAGAAACGTGGACATTGAAGGCGGAAACTATATCAAAAGTTCAGGCTTTTGAGCTATGGTCATACAGAAGGATTTTGAAGATACCATGGACAGACAAAGTCACCACTGAAGAAGTACTGCGGAGGATGAACACAACTGCGAATTTGGTCAACATCTTGAAGGGCTGTAAGCTGCAGTATTTGGGACATGTGATGAGAAATTGAGGCAGATACGAGCTACTTCAATGCATTTTACAAGGTAAAATTTAAGGAAAAAGGGCCCCAGGACAAAGAAGAATATCCTGGCTTGCTAACCTGAGAACATGGTATAGAAAGATCTCAACACAGCTATTTCGTATAGCAACTAATAAAGTCATCATAGCCAGAATGATCGCCAACATTCAGAACGTACAGGCACTCTAAGAAGAAGAATATTAAAGTGTACTTTAGGTTGTCATTATGAAATCCGGCGCTAATGTCGCTCCAAAATATTGATATAATATGCAATTATTAATTGTATTTTACAGTGGATATGATAGTTGGCTGAAAACGTATTTTATGATTTATTTTCTGGAATCCCGTTTTTATTATTGCATCCATATTAATAGTAATCCTGCAATTTAATAATTTATATATTTATTAAATCTTTATTTTAATATTTATTCAATAAGAATTATGTACTACATACAATATTTACCTTTTAATAACCTCAATCTCTAAACGTAAAAAATATACGATACGATAAGAAAAAAAAACAAATTTTTTACAGTTAAAATCAATTCAAAATTTTTATTGTTAGTCAAAGTTAATTATTGATATATATTACAATAATTGTTGTATCGAATAAACAAGTTTAAGTCACTTTATTTACAGCTAATATAAGACTAAAATATTAATAGTGCTAAGACAGTCGCTGATTTATGCTACTAGGTGTCGCTCTTCGGAACTTGCACATAGCGAATAGCAAGACTGGTATGTGTATAAAACTGCTGTGTTGTTCGAAAAAAAACTTGACAAGTAAACCATCTTCAATCTATAAATCGTATGTAAATTGTAACCCGCAAAAGGGTTACAATTTACATATTATTGTAACTTATATTTGCAACCCGTAAAATTGTAAATTGTAAAATATATTTATTATGTAGTCACTAACAATATATACCATTTTATTTAAACAAAAAATATATTAAGAAAACTACTTACGGGTTCTTTACGAAGATTAACTTTTGAGGGACTCCTGAACCAAGTTCTTTTTTCTTTCTCGGTATCTTTCTCCTTATCTTTGCTTTTGATTTTATCTCTGTCTTTGATTTTATCCTTATCTCTATCCTTATCTACAGTTTTGATTTCGGTACCCGTTTTGGATTTTTTCACATCTTGTTTTTGGGTCGAGCGATGTTTTGAAGAGGGGGAGAGCGCTCCATGGACTCGTTTGAGCGAATCGAAAATGGAGCTGCCGCTCGGCTGGGAGGTTGATCTGGAAAGAAAGAATTTCTACAGTTATTCCAATGTTTTAAGAAATATAAAAAACTCTATAGATCTGACAAAGGCATACGATAGTGTACCACTTTCAATGCTTTGGGTAGCAATGGAAAAACAACGAATAAGCAAAAAAAATAAATAAGTAGTACAACAGCTCTACAAAAATATGATGGCAAACATTAAAACTGGAAATAGATTAACTAGAGAAATTTCTATTAGTAAGGGCCTAAAGCAAGGCTGCTGCATAGCACCTACACTCTTCAAAATATATCTAAATGAGGCACTCTTACTGTGGAGAAGAAAGTGCTGCAATGTGGGCTTCCCAATCGGAGATGATAGATTGTACACGATACACTTCGCTGACGACCAAGCCATTCTAGCTAAAGACGAGAGTGATATAAGCTACATGCTTAGAAAACTGGAAGATGAGTACACCAAATGGGGCCTCACAATTAATATACAAAAACCTGAGAACTTAGTTGTAGGAAAAAATCCAGAAAGCCTACAAATCGAAATGGGAACTATAAAACCAACAGACAATTTTAAGTACTTGGGAGTCCAAATAACATCAAAAGCAGGAAGTAGCGAAGAAATACATTCCAGGATTGGCCAAGCAAGATCAGCCACCAGACAGCTACACGGACTATTATGGAATAAAAAAATAACAAAAGAAAATAAAAGAAGAATTTATAAAACAATCTTCTTCTTCAGGTGCCATCTCCGCTACGGAGGTTGGCAATCATCATAGCTATCTTAATTTTTGAGGCAGTAGCTCTAAATAGTTGTTTTGAGCTGCATCCAAACCATTCTCTCAGGTTCTTCAGCCATGAAATTCGTCTTCTTCCGATGCTTCTTCTGTCATCTATTTTTCCTTGCATTATGAGTCGCAGGATGCCATACTTATCGCCCCGCATCACATGTCCGAGATACTGTAGCTTTCTTCCTTTAATTGTAAGTTCAATTTCCTTCTCTTTGCCTATTCTTCTCAGTATTTCATTGTTTGTAACTCTATCTACCCAGGAAACCCTCATAATTCTTCTATAGGTCCACATTTAAAAGGCGTTAAGTCGTCTCATGGTATCTAGATTTAACGTCCATGATTCCACTCCATAATATAGTACACTATATACGTAACATTTTGTTAGGCGTACTTTAAGAGCTAATGTTAGATCTTTGCCACATAGGACCTTTTTCATTTTTATAAAATTAGAACGTGCTTTTTCTTTCATCTTTCCAGGAGTCGATCATGTTTTACTTTATCAAACGCTTTATTGTAGTCTATAAAACAGACGTAAAGAGGGCGGTTACCATCCAAACATCACTGTGTCAGCACGTTGAAGGAGAATAATGCCTCTCTGGTACCCATACCATTGCGGAACCCATATTGAGTGTCACTAATATCCAGCTCCAGTTTAGAGTGTATTCTGGCGTGGATAATTTTCAAGAGAATTTTCAAGGTATGTGACATTAAGCTTATGGTTCGATAGTCACTACACTCTTTGGCATTCACTTTCTTTGGCAAACATACAAATGCTGATGTCAACATTTCTCTAGGAATGATTCCCGTAGTATAGATAGCATTGAACAGTTCTACTATTATGTCCAGGTTTTTCTCGTTAACCAACTTTAGTAGCTCGCTTGGGAAACTCTGGGAGATAAACCAAAGAAACAAATCAAAAATTAAGGCCATGGAAACGAACTACTGGAGACGATGTTGCCAGCTCACTAAACTTGATAGGGTGAGAAACGAAGATATTCGGAGAGAAATGGAAATCGATCTAGACATAATAGACACAATCGAAGCCAAAAAACTTAACTGGTATGGACACCTTCAGAGAATGCCGGAAAACAGATGGTCAAAAAAAAAAATAGAAGAATGGACTCCGCCAACTAGAAGAAAACGAGGTAGACCAAGACGATCCTGGAGAGACGATGTCGACGATGCAATGACCGCCAGAGATCTAACAACTGAAGATTGCTTCGACAGAAAACGCTGGAAATTAGGATGCGAGAAGCGGCGCCAGCTGTAGAAGACTCGCTTGTTATGTATATATATATATATATATATATATATATATATATATATATATATATATATAATATATATATATATATATATATATATATATATAAACTTTTTAATTTAGTGTAAGTACCGTTTACATAACGCGGTACAAATTCTATTATAGTTTAAAAATAGACAGATACTTGTTTATTACACTATTATTATATTATAAAAATGTTGTTAAATTTAAATACAACGTTACTATTGTATTGTAACAACATAAACAAATATTCTAATTCCTTATCACCAAGCAATAAGAGACAGGTTGTAAATTTTTGTGGCATTTGCTGGCAACAAAAAGTTTGAGGGTGTAAACAAATCACTCATAGTATCAAAGAAAATTCTAGGCAAATTTTCAATTGAAATATATATAGAACTCTTAAAGGTTACTAATAAAGAATCACATAGAATTATTTAATAAAATCTACGATACTTAGAAGATTTCGAAAGATTGTCTAATATGTGTGTTTATACTTAACACCCAAACAACCCAACGCAATAAAATGTGAAAATATAGATTAGCTTGATATTTTAAAAGTCTTATTGCGACTGATACATAAACGTGTCTAAAAAATCTAGACGACAGAATAACAGGAAACCAACTGGGATTTAGAAAAGACTTTTGGCATTAGAGAGGCATTATTAACTATAAAAATACTCATAGAACGGTGTCGAGATGTTAACTCTGGCTTATTAGTATGTCTAGTTGACTTTAAGAAAGCCTTAGACAAAATACAGCATAGAAGGCTTACAAACATATTACGGGACACAGATATGAGAATCATTACCAATTTACAGCGATATCAGAAAGACATAAAACGAGTAGAACAACAAAGATCTAAAGATATACATATAAGACGAGGAGTACGACAAAGACCTGTATTGCCACCTTTTTAATATGTGTTCAGAAGGGATGTTTAAAGCAGAGATGAAAAAAACATGTATTTTGTATGTAATCATATTTTTTTATTTTATGTTTTAAACAGATAAAACTTTAAGTATATTTTCTTAAACATAATATTAATGGAAAATGTTTATTCTATTATTCTACTAAATAATATACCTTATTTAATCCACACTAAACTGTCGTAATCAACTGTTCCGAACTACGTAGCTAAGGCTGTGCCGGTGAATCCCTTAAATAAGAAAGCCAATTGCAATGAGAAGCTATTGGCCTGGGGGAACCCCGGACTATTTACTATTTATAAATTCGCATTGCAAGTTAGCTATTGCAATAATGTCTACTGTTGTGTTGCCAATGTCCGGATAATTATCCGATTTTCGGACAATTTCGTGGACCATCGGATAATTTTCGGATTGAACAATTTTTTGGATAATTTCGGATAATTCAAGGGTCTATCGACTTTTTATTTTTAAATATAATTTAAATTTTTATAAGCTTAAATAGCTAAATTTGCGAATGTACATAGAACTGCAAATTCTATTCTTATATAATCGAAGATGATGGAACCTATGAATTATTTCAGCGCCCTCTGTTGATAAATAGTATAGTTTTGGTTGACTGTTTTACTGTACAAAAATCCAGAGATCTTTGAAATTGACAAAACAAAAATTGAATTTTATTTCAATCCAAGTCTAAAAGGTCGAAGTAGTCAAGTAATTCCCCTGTGGCACTTTCTCTATATTTTTGCCGATTATGTATGTAAACAATAAGTATTGTTAATATAGGTTTTAAGAGTTAATAATTTGTTAATTTGCTATATTTATGTATTATTTGTTGTTTTTTATTTAAATAAATATATTTCTATCAAACTAAACTTGTTTTCTTGCCATCATTTGTCATATTAATTGTCATCTGTCAATGTGTCACTGTCAATGTCAATTATTCCATTTAATTAGTCTTCTTTTCGGATAATAGTCAACATTCGGATAATTTCTAGTTTTGCGTTGGCAACACTGGTCTTCTGTAAGTTATGTTGTGGTATTTTTTGTAGTGTTGGGTGCTTTTTTGAAAAATGTCGTCTACAGCAAGCAAGGAAGATCCCATTTGGATATATTTTAATGTTGTTAAAGATAATAACCTTACACCTATAGGATTGTATAGAAAACTAGTGTATGCAAACAATTATCTTCGCAGTATTTTTCTTTTCTTTTATTAAAAATTTTCTTTTATTATAAATAAAATTTAATTTAATTTTTATAATATTAAGTACAAGATGAATAAATATAAAGCCATCGTCAATTTTCATTGTTTTATTACACATCATAATATAAATACAAATTTGAAGAGCATTTTCAGTCTCACGTTTCAAATATTAGTCGATAAATTGTATGAAATTCCTTATAACACAGTTTTAGAAACTGAGCATGCTCAGTTCAGCAATACTGAATGATGATCAGATAAACACTCGTATGACAACAAAGTTTTCCGATCAAAAGCGACTTTTTCTGCGCTTACAAAAAATATACACTTTAGTTCCAGTCATTGATCCATAAAAACTTGTAAAGGACTTCAAACATTTTCTGGTCAATGACCACGTGTTTCTTCGTCATTAAATGAATGATATTTGCATCGATATTTAGATCAATCGGAGCAAGAAGATCTCGAAAAAAGACTCTTTTACGGCATATTAAATTATCTTAGCTGATAATAAAATTTTTGGATATAACTTCAAATAATCTTCGCTTTCCAATGCCATAAATCACATGCCATTGAGGGTATTTAGTTAATAATTTCTTACTTATGTTTGGTTTAAAGTTTTTTGCCTTGGCTCGAGAAGCTTATCACTTCAAAGGAAGTATAACAATAGAAAAAAAATTTCTCTTTGGGGTGGTATTGACTTGAGAATTTCGGTATTCCCGACAAGTAAATCAAAATATTATCTATATTAAGAAAATAAAATTACATCGGAGAAAATACTACAATACTCCTATTTTCGTGAATATTTTTATATGGAATCTTGGACGCA